ACAAACGATTAGCAATATAGTATATCGATTTAATGGCATGAAAAATTAGCATTATATCTCTGAAGGTCTACCATGGGTCCCACCAATAGCTTGGTTAAGTGCGAGTACGACCACTAAGCAAGTCACCCATATAATAATTTATGAAATATGAATATAATAACAATATTTTTTTTTTTTTTTTTTTTTTTTTTTTTTTTATTATATGATATTTTATTTTGGACTAATTTTTTTAGACATAAGATTATTTAGACCAAATGTCTGCCACTCAAACGATCTTTCCAAATTATAATGTAGGAAATTTCTTAAGGTTGTTATTGGATACTTTAGAAAGTTTACATTTCACAAACAAAACTACGTATGTTATAATAAATTGACAGTATAAATCAATTAATGCTGATAGATTACTGTGGCGTCAAACTTATGTTGGACTTTCTCGAGTTTTCAAAGAGAACTCCACATTTCATGACATAATCGTGATTTTTTCCAATTTTGTTTTAAAAATAATTATTAAATCCAAATATCGACAATTTATACAGTAAGTGCCTCTTTTGATAATAATTATTTCACTGCAGCGATAAAATAAATAATATTTACTGAATACGCCAACAGCTAAAAAATAATAGGATATTTTTTAGGATCTGATTCTTAAATTTGGTCGCTGATAAAATGTTAGATACTATCACTTTAACGAAACCACTAATAAAATTGCGAAAAAAATCATGGCTTTTATCTCAACGAGACAATTATCTGAGAACAAATTCAATAACTCATTTTTGGATATAATCTTACAAATACAAAAAAGTTGGTTAAAAAATTGTTGATTTAGGATATAAATACAGTTTTCCATTTGAAATAGCAAAGAAAAAAAACTAAAAAAAAAAAAAAAACTGTATTAATATAAAAAAATAATATAAAGAAAATTTAATCATATAAATATTTGGAATTTGCAATATTTTATAACATTATATAAAGAACATTACCTTAAATTAGTTCCAGTAAAAAACTTCCATATTACTTATTTTTAACTAAGAAGGGCTTAAATATAATTTTATATATAAACAAAAACTGTAATCCAAAAATGGTCAAAATGAACTCTATACGATTACGACATTATGTTTTTCTGGGAATGACAATTTTTGGAAACTCACCAAGAAAAAAAAAAATATAGCCTTTCTTTTGACAAACTATACAACTCTAAAGTAAAAATGTATTTAATCTATTGAATCTCTGTATTATCTATAAAAATACTCACTTTTACATTTACGCTACTTTTGCATGCAAGCATACCTATTTTACAAAAATATGATTTGAGTTAAAATATAAAATAAATCTGATATGAAGCTTTATCAAAACACAGGGTGGACTGTAGATAAACAATATTTTTTTAACATTAATTATTAAAACTTTATACAAAATACACGAATTAATTGTCAATGATACCCTAGTTATTTTTAAATTTCTAAAAAAAAAATAACTCAGTATTTTTAAATTTTTAAGTCAACTGCCATAAATCGTTTAATCATATTATCAACTATCAAATTTAATATGATAACTTAATCTCAGCTTCTCTAAGTAAACTCTAAATAAAATAAAACCAGAGTATTTAAACCAATTTATATGAACTTTGAAATAATATGATATTACTCACTGTATCAGATGATTTTTGTTTAAATTAATATGTTTTCAAACTAAAAAAAAAAAAAAAAAAAAAAAAAAAAAAAAAAAAAAAAAAAAAAAAAAAAAAAAATAAAAATATGTTTTATAATCCAATATTCAAAAATACTGTTTCGTTCCTTTCAAGGCGCCATCTAGAAGACAGGATTTTACTAAGCCCTCATTGTATATCTATTTATACATAATCAAGGGTTTTACATTTTTTAAATAAAATTAGAACGACACTGATAAACCGGAATTTAAGTCGGCCATATTTGAGGCCCATCGCGGTGTACCTAAGATTTTTGATATGCTCCTTCCTTAGTGAGAGTTTGGACTACAATAAATACACTTTGTTAATGGTCAATCTTTATTTATTCCATCCTCAGGACACTGAACATGTTACGGAAAAAAGGCTATAAAAGTCATCAAGTAGAAAGAACTTACTCAACGTGATAAAAAACCTTCTCTAAAAACCAGGGGTGGATACAGGAATTTATTTTAGGGGGGACCCAAAATGAAAAGCAATGTAGAATATGCTTTTTAGGGCGCCATTTTTAACCCAAAAGCCTAATATTTTACACATTTCAAAGACTTTAGGGGGTATCCGCCACTGCTAAAAACTGCATTAAAAAATAGGCTTACAGGAAACATTGAAAGCATTGAAACATTAAATTTATTTATTTAGGAATATAAATACATAACTTTTATTTTGATTAATTGACTAACTCCAAGTAGCTAAATTTAATAAATGTAATATACACCTGAATATACAATAAAGAAATTATCTACCCGTATCTACTGATTTTCCGTTTTGGTTCCGTCAACTAATTTTGTCTAAATAAGTGCATAAAACACATCATCTAGTCATCCTAGTAAAAGAGATATACCTAATTATTAAATAAATTTAAAAAAATATTTTTCACATTCGAAGTAGCTGTTATTTTGAAACTACGACATTTTGGAAGTGTAAATAATGTTAATATTCATCACTTTCTATAATCAAATAATATTTAATAGCAATGGTTGTTAATATATATTATTAATACCTACTTATTTAATAACAGGTAATTAAACACCTAGTAGCACATATATAATAACATGTTAGTAGGTATTAAAGTATTAAATTATTATTTTAGGCTCTCTAGCTCTCTAGCTAGCTCTCTAGGTTATGTCATGCAGATGTTCGATTTTTCATGCAGATGTTCAATTATGACGGGTGATGGCGCTCATCGTCTAGATTTTTGGACAGGGATTTTGTTTACCGACAATACGACGTGAGCTACGACTGGACCAGGACCAATCAGAATGATCAGTCTCAATCAGTCTTTCTTGGACATTTGCCGCGGAAGTGTGTGTTAATAATTTCTGTTGTGATAAGTGTGGTTGTGTTTGCAATTTGATTTTTCGGTTTTGATATTATGTTAAAATTAATTTTGAAGTATTGTATCACCTGTTTTTATGTAATAGTACTTTTTTTAGTTCTATGATCTGATATGTTATGATTTGTTAATGTTTGTTTAACAATGTTATACCAAAGAGGTTATACTCAATATAGCAATTTGCATAGCCTAACTTTTTTATCAGTAAACTTTGTAGATTTTCAGATTATTTAATTTCTTTTGTTTCCGTTTGTAATTTTATTTTTAAGACATATTATGTGATTGTTTCAGATAATATGTTTTAAAAATAAAATTGCAAATAGCGAATAAAAATAATTAAAATAAAGAAGTGTATTTTACAATTCCCCCCGGCCCCGCACCCCTTTGGCTAACCTGTAAATGTCAGCTTTGTCGAGAGATGGCGTTACGAAAATGGAACCGATTTATTACAAGGAACTTGGGCTTCTTTTTCGTTAGTATATTCTGTGATCCCTATCGATCGCAGTGCCTCTACTGTCAAACCGAGGAACCTGCTTAAAAGTGGGGACAGAAATTTCAAATATGCCCATTGCCGATAAACCTTCTTTTTAAGCCCTCCATACTACCTATTTAGTCAACATGTTTAATTTATGTCAATGATGACAGGTATGGATAATTTCGATTCCAAATATCTAGAAAACCACTACTCGTAGCGATTTTTACCAAGAGACATTTTTTACTTAAAAAACGTCGTAAATGTATAATTTTTTACTCAGTAGTTTTATACGGGTACGGACGAAAAGTTCTTACTCTTCAACCAGTTAAAAAAATATGTAGGTAGCGCCCTTTACTAGTAGGAGTCATATTGACATCAAAATCAAATTTCTCATGTCAAAAAACTCCCAGACACCAATTTTCATCTAAATATTGACGTTACTCCAGAAATTATTTGGAAAAAATCGAAATAAAAATCAAACTTCTACACCCTGTAAATCCGAAACTAAGCATTTTAGGACATACTTACTTATTTTGATCTGCAGAATATGCTGCCGAAGTTTCTGGAATACAGTTCGGACCACCCTGTATATATAGGTAGAACATTTTGTGTTTTTAAAAAACAATTAACGTACAGTCATTTTCAGATGACCCCATATTTTAAAAGGTCATGAATGCATGTAGGAGATAAAAATCGTCATAAACAATTTACTTCTCCGTTAGTTCACACCTAAATGTTTTTTTTTTGTAAAAATTAAATAATATGTCCGAACTATCAGATACTGAAGAGAAAAATGACATTCGAATTAAAGTTAGTGGCGATCATCTAACATTTAAAGAAAGACTTAAACAACATTGGCAACTTCTAACAAAAATTTTGGAACTGGTAAAAATATTATTTAAAAATCTAATATATTACTGTTTTAAAAGTTTATTTTACTTTTAGGTTATATGTATTATTTGTTTGGGATTTATAATGGAACCAGCTAAAAAAGGAGATATGGCAAAAATTCATTTAGATCATTTTTGTGTGATATTCACTACATTTATCGGATATTTAGTAATTTCAGCAGTTTTTCTTTTTGCTAGAATAATAGGAGATAAAATACCATACAAGTAAATAAGTATTTAAATATTTAGTTGGGTAATATAATTAATATCTAGTTAAATTTAATAACAAAATTAAAATATTTTAAAATATTTATTTGTGGCGCTACCTTTCGCTGTACTTTCGCAACAATCTTGATATACAACATAAGAAAAAATAATGCTCTAACATTCAAAGGCTCGTGCTATAACCACAGAATATCTAGCTACGCAATAGAAAAATACTGGAAATGAAAGAGCTAAAATTGCACAAATAAAATACTAGATGGCGCGACAATATCATAATCAGAATATAATTGGAAATTTTCAACTTTCGGTTTTGGATCGACGTAGATCGACGGCTTGGATCGACGGCACGTCGACGGCCTTGAAGCTCGGCAAAATATGCACAGTTGCCAGATTCAAACAGACTTTAATTGGCATCCAATTCTTTTTGTGGTGTATAATAATTTCTTTCTATTCTTCGTTTCTTGTCAGATACACTTATATTAATTATTCGTTTGGCTTTTAAAATTAGAATACATTAATAAAAATAAAAAAATAAATTAGAAAACATATGCTCTCAAAATACATTTTTAATATACACTACTTTATTATGTTAATTAAGAAAATAACTTTAATTACCTTTAAAATTAATAATATACAGGGCGATTGATAGTGATATTTATTAATGCTGAAACGTTAGTAATGAAATATACGTTTAATAATAATGGAAATGCTTTATTAAAATGCAGTACAAAAAATGTTAATTGACTAAAAAAATACCATAATAACAAATTTTTTCTGTTTGCCATGTTATTTATATAGACCTAAGTAGATTTTAAAAAGTGACACAGGTACAATTAATAATATATTAGTTCGGCATAAAAGTTGCTGTCACGACAAAGTACATAATATACAATAAATTAAAATTCGTAAAATAAATTAAAATTATTAATTGAACAAATCTTTATAACGAAACACAAGTATATCAAATTTGGGCCCAATCGAACGCCAGGAAATGGTATCGTAATATGGTACTACATTATGGTACCCCTTGATATGCTTCATGGTACCATAATATTGCAATGTCATCAAAAATACGTAAGTATAATCAAATATGAGCCCAATCGAACGTCAGGAAGTGGTATCGTAATATGGTTCTATATTAAGGTACCACTTTATATATGCATCATAGTAGATGCATCATAGTAGATGCATCATAGTAGATGCATCATAGTAGATGCATCATAGTACCATCATATTACAATGTCACCGATGATACTTACTATACCAAGTTAAGCCCAATCGAACGCCAGGAAATGGTATCGTATTTGGTACTATTATGGTACCTCTTGATATGCTTTATTGTACCATAATATTGCAATGTCATCAAAAATATGCAAGTATATATCAAATATGAGCCCAATAAATAAACGCCAGGAAGTGGTATCATAATATGGTACTATAGAAGGTACCAATTTATTTGCTCCATGGTGCCATCATATTACGATGTTACCGAAAATACGTAGTATATAAAGTTTGAGCTCAATCGAAAGCCAGGAAATGGTATCGTAATATGGTACTACATTATGGTACCCCTTGATACGCTTCATGGTACCATAATATTGCAATGTCATCAAAAATACGCAAGTATAGTCAAATATGAGCCCAATCGAACGTCAGGAAGTGGTATCGTAATATGGTACTATATTAAGGTACCACTTTATATGCATCATAGTACCATCATATTAAAATGTCACCGAAGATACTTATACTATACCAAGTATAAGTCCAATCGCACGCCAGGAAATGGTATCGTATATGGTATTATTATGGTACCTCTTGATATGCTTCATGGTACCATAATATTACAATGTCACTGAAGATTCGTAATATAAATATACCAAGTTTAAGCCCAATCGAACGCTATGTATCGTAATATGGTACTATATTACGGTATCACTTGATATGCTTCATGGTACCATAATATTGCAATGTCATGAAAAATACGCAAGTATATATCAAATACCGTATGCTACCGAAAAAAAACGGCGTCCAGTTGGCTGGGAAAAGACGATCGATGACATTTCCCATATAAATTTACACATAAAATGACAGCGATTTTCATTTCATAGCAATCGCTAACGCCGTTTTTTCCCGATCATACGGTATGAACACAATCGAACGTCAGGAAGTGGTGTCATAATAGTAGAACAATACTTATTATATTGTCGCCGAATTACAATCAAAATTTAGTATTCAGTTAGAATCAAACGTCAGGAAGTGGTTTTAATTCAGCTCGTAAGATTTAACTCCAACTAACATGGCAAGTTAAATACTTAAATGTTTGAAAAAAGAGCTCTAATCTATTTTAATATGTTTAAATGATGTAGCAAATTTGAACGTGGCTTTATCAGGAAGTATTACAATATAAATTACATAATGGCAACACTGCATAAAATTCTTTTAAATTTCGTTTGTAGAAAACTGTTTTCTTTTAAATTTATCGCCCTCTGTTATGTAGTAGTGAAACTACCGCATCAAAATATCTGATTTGGAGACAGGCTTTAAAAGTCTGTCTCCTTTTGAGACCTACGATTTTTTACATGTAACGAGGCTTCTGTTGCGTAGCTAGATATTCTGTGCTATAACAGTTTTGTTGGTATCCGAATTACTTCATAGATGGCATTCCAAACTTTTTTTAAAATAGAGTCACTGTATTTTTAAATACCTACTCTGATTTAAATTAATTTTAAATAAATGTAATCATTTTTTTTTCAGAACGGTTTTTATATTTTCCGTTACAGCTTCATGTCTTTTCTTTATATCCGGAATTTTACTAGCAATAGATAGGAAAAGAAGGTATTTTTACGATGACACTTTCTACGAACCCAGGATGTACATCCTAAATTTTATAGTTGTATCAACGTTTTTTTCGTTTTTGGCTTGTGTAGTTTTTGTAGTCGAGTCGGTGTATATTTGGAAATTAGGAGAAGAGTTTTGATTTGATGTTCTTATTGCACATATTTTTTATTTATGTTTATAAGGTAAAAAGTACCCTATGATCGAAAAAAAACGGCGTCCAGTTGGCTTGGAAATGACGATCGATGACATTTCCCATATAATTTTACATATAAAATGACAGCGATCTTCATCTCATAGCCATCCTTGACGCCGTTTTTATTCGATCATACGGTACAAACTTCATTAGACCGTATGATCGAAAAAAAATGGCATCCAGCTGGCTTGGAAATGAACATCGATGACATTTCCCATATAAAATGACACCGATCATCATTTCATAACCATCGCTGACGCCTGGTTATACGATATTATTTGGTATTATGTACCTTTATGTATCTATAGGTACAGACGTATATGTATTATTTTATTCGACTTAGTAAATATAAAAATATTAAAAATAAATATATGCAAACTATACAAATACTGGTTTTAGTATCCTAAAAAATATCGCGTTATACGATATATAAAACAACGTATAATGTCATTATAAAACTCTTTGTTATGAATTACACTCTTTGATACAAATCAGAAATTAAAACTAGGTACACTACCCAGGTAAATTTAAAGAAATCAATTAAACCAGAATTTAACCATTAGAGATGGGAAGTACGTGTGCGTGTCGTACAAAATGTACGATACATTTCAATGTACGGTGTACGTGTCGTACAATTTTATTGTACGAAACGTACAATCCACCATTATCATTGTACTTTGCATCTTTGCAAGCACTGGGACCCGGGACCGGGGACCGGCAACACAACATACTACGGGAACTGTTGCTTGGTTAAATTAGCTTTAAACCAAAATACGTACACTACATACGCACGTACGTAGTGAATTGATGTACTGTGTATATTATAGGGTGTGCTATCTTATTAGTACTGTGGTTTAACTTGAAAATTAGTAGCGATTTATTTTTGTAGTTTATAGGTACTTTCTACGTATGCCTAATATGCCTAGTTTCTAATATCCTAATTCAAATAGGTATTTTTTTTAGGATTTTCAATTTAAATTCAAAACATACGTAGGTATTCTAGAACTTGATTTATGAAAAATATATTATTTAAATATATAATTATAGTCAAACAATTGTGAAGGTATTGCTATTTTGTAGATTTTATTACTAGGTACATTAGTAAAGTATAAAGTATAGTAGCATAGTAAATATGTACGTATCGTACAACATAACAAGTATAGCCAGAGACGTAAGAAATATAAAATAACACGCGACCGGTGCTATCCCCAAGTCTCTTCTTATATTTGTAGAACTGTACTCGTACGCTTCTGTTACGGGTGACTCATACTCATTCTACTCCGTTGCCGTCCGCTCATGATCTCGTGAATCTCGTCGTACAATTGTACGACACGCACTGTACGATACAATTAAGTGTACTGTACGAAGTGTGCTAGTACAACCAATTGTACTGGTTTTGCCCATCACTATTAACCATAAACTATTTCTGTGAGAAATACGTATCATTCTAATGTTGCCAAACGTACAAATTAAATCCCGAATGCGTTTCTCACTACAATAATATTGATCCTACCCTGTGATCCTACCAGATCCTACATCCTATAGGTATCCTATTCTATTCCGATGAAAAATCAATGCATATCAATTATCAATAGACACGCGCGTTGTTTAGGAATTTTAAATATCGATTGATTTCACATAACGCTCACTATTTTTCTCTTATCTCAACAAAATAGAAAGCCCAACACAGTTAATATCTGGTATCTGGTTATTCATTTCTCCCCTTTTTCATTTGTGTTGCCGTCGCCGTCCGTCGTACAGAAATGGAGACATGTGACACAGTACAAAGTCCAGCCACGATTATAAGTGAGGTTAAGATGTTTCGTTTGTTTTCAAAAAAAAGTTTCGTCGAGGAAATAGACCGTTTTTAAGGGTTTTCGGGGTGATAATTGTATCGAAAAATACCGTACTGGGTCATGGATGAATCCTCAGATGAACAGGTGGTGGCATTAGCTAACAATAATAACAATAATGAGACTTCAGTGATCGTGCATAATGTGAGATTACCATCCCAGAACTGTAAGTGATTTTTAGATAAGAATCTAAATGTTTAAGATATTTAATTTTAAAGAAACTTATTTTAAGAGTGAATGAGTAGTTTTGCGTGTATAGTGTTTTAATTAGTACGCCAATTCAAAAACAAACCAATTATTTAACAGAATATTAGTCGACTTGGCAAATTACTTGTTGCCTTAGCAAATTCAAATTGCCTGCAATTTTCTTTTAATAATCTAGAAAACCTACCAAACCTACGTATATCGACAAAAAGGTATCCATAAGTAAGGCTTTTTCAGGTGCATAATAAACAATATTTCTTTAAAATATAAATACATGGAATTGTGTAATTATTTCTATACATGAAAGAACAATAATTTTTGATCTGAAATGTTATTGTAATGCGTTACGAGAATAGTAAATAAATAATTATCTTTAGATTGAAATGATTGTGATTGAAAATTATTATTTATTCTGAACTGGGTTTAATTATTAAAAAAAACGTACCTGTTTTATTGGTTGCATAATAGCCAGTACCCATATATTGTACAAGCAGTACAAGACAAACATGTAGAAAAGACATATACAGGGTGTCCCGGAAGTAAGTGCAGGTATTTTAAGGGGTGGTAGATCTGGTCAAAAGAAGCATATTTTCACTTTACCATTTTTAAAATAGATTGAAAATAACCGAGTTAACTTTGAAAGTTAAAACAAAATTTGCATTGGCATTTTGAGAGCCGCCGCGCCGGGAAAAAAAGGGGATTTAAAAAGGGGAGCTTAGTAGATTATGACAGACATATGTACATTATTTGTATTTATAGAACACCTGACTCTGACGTGCAATTATTCTGTCATAATCTACTAAGCTTGCTTGAGTCCCTGCCCTTGAAAAGCAAACTAATTTTGTGTGGTGATCTTAATATTGACTTTCTTGGTGTATGTGCTGCTCAGGAGTTTCTTCGGTCCATTTTTGATTCTTTTGGAATGGCCATGCATGTAGGCTCACCTACCAGAATATCCAGTACCAGTTCTAGTACTATAGACTATGTTGTGTCATCTTTTGATCCTAACTCCATCGCCTGCAACGTCTTTAGCTCGGGTCTCTCTGATCATGAAGCAGTTTTAACTGAATTTTCGATAAAGTCCAAAATCAAAAATGCCCCTCGTAAATTATGTCGTATTTTTTCAGAAAAGAATGCTCAAAAGTTCAGCCACTTATGTAAAACAACCAATTGGGATACTAGCTCTTATGATGTCGACACCGAATTTTCTATTTTCGTAAAAACATTAACCAGTCTAGCGTTCAAATCCTTTCCTCTTAGGCCTATAAAAAATAAGCATAATAAACCTTGGACCACTAAAGGTCTACGCATATCTTCTAAAAACATGCGTTCATTATCTCACTTAAAAAAATTCGCAGAGAGTCTCTTCCTCCACAATTACGTAAAACTATACAGAAAAATTTATCATAAGACTATAAGAGCCGCTAAGGACCTTTACTATAATAGGAGAATAGTCAATTCTGGTAATGTTGCTAAGGAAACATGGTCTATTGTGAATGAGTTGAGAAACAAAGCTTCTTCGTCTAGCAATATCTCTACCTCGCCTGAGAACCTTAACGATTACTTTGTAAATGTAGCGAAAAACTTAACTAATACCATATGTCCTCCTCATGATCCACTTTCTTATCTCTCTAATGATAATGTAAACTTACACAGTTTCTTTTTTTCGCCCGTAGTTCTTGAAGAGCTTCGGAGTACAATTAATACCATCAAAAATAAATCCTCTTCTGGGACCGACGGGCTAACTTTAAAAATGTTTTCGAATCTGCCAGAAAGCACTCTGAATCACCTAACAACTTTAATAAACATGTCGTTCCAAAATGGTGTTTTTCCAAAATGTCTTAAGACGGCAATAATCATTCCTCTGCACAAAGGAGGAGACAAAGATGAAGCTTCTAACTATCGCCCAATTGCACTCCTTCCAACGCTATCTAAGATCATAGAAAGGTTGGTTAAAAGAAGGCTGGTATCTTTTCTGTTTAAGTACGAAATACTTACTGAATATCAATTTGGATTTCTAAGCAACAAGTCCACAAATGACGCTATGTTTTCCCTCCTTAATAAAGTTTACTCCAGCCTAAACAACCATCATTCTACAGCAACAATTTTCTGTGATTTTTCTAAGGCGTTCGATTGTTAATCATAAGATCTTAATTAATAAACTGCAGCACTATGGGTTCAGGGGATCATCTCTCGGATAGTTTAAGTCGTATCTGAGCAACAGAAGTCAACTTGTGAGGGTGGATACCACGTTGTCTTCTAGAAAGCCAATAGAATGTGGAGTACCACAAGGCTCAGTACTAGGCCCTGTTTTGTTTCTTCTTTTTATTAACGACATTGCTAACATAAACATCAGTGGCAAAATATGTCTTTTTGCGGACGACACTAGCTTCACTTGGAGCAACAAGGACATCAGGCACTTCATAGGATTATATCAAATGACTTAATCACCATTAAATCTTGGTGCGATTCGAACCTCCTGAGTCTCAACATTTCTAAAACTAAAGCTTTGTCGTATAAAAACTCGTTGCAGCCTTTTGTACTTAACAACACCACCATTGACGTCGTAAAATCTGTAAAATTTTTAGGGCTTGTTGTGGACAATTCTCTGAAATGGGACATACATATCGAAGTTTTGTCGAAAAAATTGAGCTCTGCCTGTTTTGCATTAAGGTCTGTTTCTAAGGAGCTTAACTTGTCAGTGGCTAGAACTGTTTATTATGCACTTTTTGAGTCGCACCTCAGGTATGCCCTTCCATTCTGGGGTACGTGTTGTGCGACTCAATTTGACCGCATTTTCAAGCTCCAGAAGAGAGCTGTTCGATATTCACTAGGACTAAACAGCAGAACTCATTGCCGGGACTTTTTAAAGAATTAAGAATATTGACTCTTCCTTCCTTATTTATATTTGAATCCGTTTGCCTAATACGTAAACATGTATCAGCTTCTCAAGAAAGGCCATCTCACACTTATCCACTCAGGAACGCGGAGCAAGATCTTTATCTACC